CGGAGCCTCATATAAAACACTAACTCGTACCCAAGGGGATGCCTTTATGCTCCGCGAGGGCCGTCTTTGTGGGTCACCATGTCTTCTTGTGTCTGTAAAGGTTTGTCCCATGTAAATACATCTTTGTAATAAAGAGTTTTGATGGCCAAAAACCCTTGTTGTGGGCTTGGGGGTGGGCACCGTGGGGATGAGGAGGGCAGCGCAGGCTCCTCTAGGGTGGGAGGGATGCACAAAGGGGCCGGGGGCTCCAGGCGTGGGGCTGGGGACAGCGGGTTAAGGCAGGGGGGCTGCAGCGGGACGAGAAGGCCCCAGCAGCAGGAGCGCGGGGCCTGTGGGGAAGCAGGGCCGGGCCCAGCTGGCCTGGATTAGCTCACGCGCCAGCACGGGAGGGATGCGCGGCCAGACCGCGCGCCAGCGCTCCCGCTGCCTCCCCCGACACTGTGAGGCCAAGCCTGGGAGGCATCTGCAGCGCCGGAGGAGTCCAGGGCAGCGCACGGCTCCCCGGTATGCGTATCGGCCAGGGCAGGATGCTCTTCCACCCGCTCACCCTGGTATCAGGCCTGGGAGCCTCCGGAGAAGGCCAGGCTGGCGAGCAGCATCGCTGGCATGGCAGGGGTGCCGGGGCCGTTGGCCAGTGGCCAGCAGAGGCACAGCTGGGCTGTGACCCTGGCACTCCGCTGCTAGCCTGGAAAGGGGAGGCCAGGGAGGACCCCCCAGTTGGGTGGTGGCCAGCTGGTGCCGCAGGAAAAGGCTCCTGGGCTGGGAGATCCTAAGGAATCTCTGGCTTTTCCTGACCTGGCTGCCTGCCCACAGGCAGGTGGGAGTCTGCTGGGCTCCTTCGTGCCCCTTCCGTGCTGCTGCAGCGAGGAGGCTGCGTCACCCCGGCAGTGCCGGTGCCCGCGGCCATGGAAAGGGCATGCGGCACCGGAGCAGCATCCTCGGTGGGCAAAGAGGGTTGGGAGCCCAACAGCCCCTGTGCAGCTGCTGAAGCTGGTGCAGCTCCAACCTCGGCCCCATCCCTGGAGAGGGGCAGGACTTGTCGCCCTTTCTGGCATTTCCGCCGGCAGTGCCAGGAATGCGGTGGCCGGGGGAACAATGCCGGCACCTTGCGCAGCTCCGTGACACAGCGGAGCGCAGCTGCCCGGGCACGGCCCTTGCTCTCAAGGAGATGTCAGGAAGCAGATGGAGATGACACCAGTGGCCGCTTCCTGCGGCAGGATGCGCCCAGCTTTCTCCACTGCTGCTCCAGCTGCTGCAGCGAGCGTGGCTGGAAGGGACCGTGGTCCCTGTGCCCATAGAGGGGTTCAGTTCGTCACCCCGCGCAGGTGCCCGCTCTTCAGGGACGGCGAGGTAGGTCCCACCATTTGGCACATCCAACATCCCAGGAAGAGCCGTAGCGTGTCCCTGTGCAGAAGGGGCTGGTGCACCTCCCGAGGGGGCTGGAGGTGGCAGGCAGGGCTGGCCTGGGGGTGGCAGGGGGTGACTGCACGGTGCAATGGCAGCGAGGACAGCGGAGCTCGGCCCAGCGGCCACCCCGGCACAGCACAACGCAGAGGGGGGGCAGGGCCAGCGCAAGCAGCGG